TGGGAGGTAGAGGCAGGTCTCTCTGAGTTTGAGGCCAGCTACACAGAGAAACCAAGTCTCAAAAAAACAAAAGAACAAGTTGTTGGGGCGCTAGAGAGGCAATTCAGCAGTTAACATTATGTTCTACTCTTGCAGAGGACTTGGGCTCAGCTCTCAGCACCCATCTTCAGTGGCTCAAACTATGTATATCCAGCTAAGGGAGAGTCAATATTTTTGGCTTCTTTGGTCACTTGTTCTCGGGTGCATACCCACACAGAGACACACAGAAATGCACATAATTAAAAATAAATCTTTTTTAAAAAGAACATGTTGTTGCCTAGCATTTAGGAGGCCCTGGGTTTGATCCCTAGCAAACCCTCCCTGGAAGGAAGGAAATATATATTTAGATATGAAGACTGCACTATGGTTACATTTGTACAAAGCTCTTGTTTCTTGGCAGCTTGGAAGTATACACTGGAATACTGATGATGGGATGTTGGAATGTCTGGAATTTGTTTCAGGAGGAAGGGCGAGGGGTAAATGAAACTTGCCTGGCTATGAGCTGGTAACAGCTACAGCTACGGCTGTAGCACAGAACTTCATTAGACTATTCCCTCTATTATTATATGCTTGAAACTTTCCATGGTATTCTTGTTTGTTTAAATAGCCTCTCTTCTAATTTCTCCACTAGAAAAAACATTTTTAAACCTACAGCCAGACATGGCCACTCACGCCTGGAGTCTCCATGCATGGAAAGGTGAGGCGAGCAGAGCATCCTAAACCAAGGCCACCCTGGGTCATGTAGTGAATTCCAGGCCAGCTTGGGCAAGAGAGTAAGACTCTGTCTCCAAAATCCAAACAAGACAGAAAACCCTACGGTGTCTTACCTGTCCCACCAGTGCTGGGAACAATATTATCAACATTGCCCCTTTTTCCCTGGCAAGAAACGTCAAAATGATTGCCCCTTGAGTAAAACTGGCAATGTCACTATTCTAAAGGAAGGTTATTTTAATACATACCCCCACTCCCAAAAACTCAACCGCTGGGGCCAGGTAGGCCTCTAAATGACAAATGACCATTGTTTCAAACCTGGCGATTGTGCCCTCTCTATCTGTATACACTAGTTCACTGTAGATTGGACTAGTTCGTGACTATTAGCGAACACAGTACACCTGGACAGTCAGACACCATGCCTGACGAATCCATTTTGAGCACTCACGCCCATCCAGCCAACAACCAGGTTCTCTGTGCCCAGCTATCTTTGGCTCAAGATTCTCCACGGCATATGAGCTAAAAGGGAATTATGGATTTTGTTGGGCATTTAGAGAGAGATGTCTCACCTGAATTTACCCAGTCTCTCTCCTAGTCTTGCATCTGGTCTCTTTCTCTGCTGTCTCTACCAAGAGGAAACATTCCTCTTTCCCTTTCTCACTCTCTCTCTGCCCTTCATGTTCCTACTTGACTACCCCTCTATACGCACTGCCTGTGTGGCACCTCCCAGACATGAGACTGTCCCTTTTCTCTGAGAGATCATCCGCGGTTCGGCTCTTCAAGAGATACCTGACTAACCAGACTAAGTGCTAGAGGGTAGGGAAGTACCATATTTTTTTTTCTCCCATGCCTTTCATGTTGCTGTTGATGGCTAAGATCCCTTCCCTAACCTATGGGAGATCAGTAAATGAGAAAACATTCACAAGTCCTTACAGCCGAGGAGGAGCCAGGCTGCCACTGGTCTATGCGAGCCCTTGGTGCAATTTTAAAGTAATCTCTTACATCTATTTATCTACTGTGTGTGAATATGTGTCTGAGTCTATGTGCACAGTTGGGGAGGGGTGTACACACCTATGTCCACATAGGAAGACCCCAAAGAGGGAAGCCGGCAGGTCTTAGAGATTCCTGCTGTCTCTGCCCGCACCCCTCAGCACCGGGGCTGTGGTTTGTGTGAGATTCCTGCTGTCTCTGCCCGCACCCCTCAGAACTGGGGCTGTGGGTTTGTGTGAGATGCCCATCTTGTACGTATGCTAGGATCCATACTCTGGTCCTCATGATAGCAAACTCTTAACCACTGCACCATCTCTCCATCCCTGCTTTGCGTAATCTTCATAAGTTTCATTTTTTTTTATGTGTATGGGTGTTTTGCTTGCATGTATGTCTGTACACCACGTGTGTCTGGTATCTGTGGAGGCCAGGAGAGAGTGTCAGATCCCCTGGAACTGGAATTATGGATGGTTGTGAGCCAACATGTGAGTGCTAGGGATGGAACTCAGGTCAACAGAAGAGCAGTCAGTGTTTGCTTTGGCAGCACATATACTAAAATTGGAACGCTATAGAAGGGCAGTCAGTGCTCTTTAACTGTTGAGCCATCACTCTAGTACCCAATAAACAGGCTTTTCCAGTACTGGGGCTTGAATCTAAGGCCTCATGGGTGCTGGGTAAGCCCTCTGCCACTGTGCTACCTCCCAGCCCCTTTGAGCATTTTTTCCCCCAAAGGTACTTTGTTAGGTACTTACGAGGGCTGGTCTTAATCTGGTGGTATGTCATGGATATGTGTACAGGTAAAATCCCGTCATCCTGTGCTCTTGCTGTACACTTATACATCTCTATAAATGAGTGAGCAAGTGAGTGAATGAATGAATGAATGAATGGTGCCCCTTCCTCTAATAGATAGCCCCTACCAGGCCACACAGTTCGGAAAGCAGTGTCTGAGACAGAGATCAGCTTTCTCCTAACCTGTCATGCTTTGGGAAAAGCAGAGCTGAAATGTAATGAACCCGAGACCAGGAACAGAAAACCCGTTCCTTATGGAGTGCTCCAGTGCTTGAAGTCCCATCACCCCCCAGGCTGAGACAGCGCTATGGGTGTGGCGGCACTGATGCTCTTCAGCCTTGAATGCTGAAGCCACCCCCTCCCAGAGTCCAAGTCAGCTCAGCATGAGGATGAGAAGACAAACTCAGCTTGAGGTGACAGGAGGTGACATGGCAAAAGGAAAGATCCAGGATTCCACTCCCTAGGAGCCTCAGTTCCCCTATGGGGTTAGAAATTTAATCACACCTTCTTTTGACCCCCTCCCAATACTATAAGGTTTCTGACCACTACAAATACACATGTAATGCTCTTCGCTGGGTGCCTAGAGGCGCATGCACGGGCTTTGTCTCCTCTGATGGGCCAATCTGTTCTCATCAGCATCTCAGACGAAACATGCTAAATTCGGTATCGGGTACCTGAGATGCACTGGTGAGAAGCAGAAGCCATTCCGAGCCTGAAGGAGAGACAGACAATGCAGTTGCCTGCTTAGCTGAGATGCCGTGCTAAACTGAGCAGCAGCAGGAAGAGCTGCCCCTAAGGGTCCTCAGTCTTGAGCGTTGGTGACAAGCCACAGGCTCACCTCACGAGCCTGAAAGCCGAAAGACCTGTGTGTGAGCCCTGTGCCCAGTTGGCAAGATGTGTTGTAATTGCCAAATCCAGCGAGCCCATGGTTTCTGCACATGTGGCAGTGGACGGGTCTGCCCGGTAGCGGGAGTTATAGGTAGAACAGAAACGAACCACTGAGGAGTATGGGCAAGACACAGCAGCCTCCTTCCTGTCCCTCTAAGCTGCCAGGTCCTTCCAGAATTCCATGTACTTGTCTCTGCAACCTCTGATAAACAACTAGCAGAACAGCCAGTTTGGCTAAGGGAAGAAAGACGGTAAATTCCCCACCTAGAGCTCTCAGCAACAAGGGGTTTTTCCACTCTCTGTAGCTTTCCTTGGAGGGAGAGGACTGAAGCGTGGTGAGCTTCTGTCTCAGGCTAAAGCCCAAACAGCAGCGCAACACGCAGCAAGATGGACAGTGTTTGCAGCGCTAAGAGCCGTGTGCTACTCAGCTGCATTAGTGTAATAACAAATGTAAAATGGGCAAATTCCGCCTCTAAAAGGTGTGTTCATAGGCTGGCTTGTTTGAGTCAGGTTTCGGGCTGCTAACAGCTTCATCACTGTGAGTCGTCTAAGGAATGACTTCTGAGGGGAAAAAAAAAAAACAGGAGGGACATGGCTGGGCATCTGAAAAAGCAAAAAAAAAACTCTACTTGGAGATTTTGTGTTCTGGGGAAGGCAAAGCAACATATATTGGCAGCTTCGTATGGAGATGGAAGCACCGCCCCTAAGGAGTGTGCTACTCCTCAGGCCCAACTGGTGTGAAAATGATGCCCTTCCATTTCACCCTGGCATCTCCTGTCACAGGTTAGCACTCACAGCTTCTGCAGCCAATGCAACTTGTTTTTTTTTGCAGAATCTGGGTTGGCAAACATCTAAAACAAGCGGGTCTTGAAATATCTGACCAGATCTGTTCCGTTTAAACAACTCTGTGGGTTCCAGCTTTCCCGCTGCTAAGCCACGGGTTCGTATCTGGTGCCAGGCAACTCAGTAGCATTTTTGCTTCACCTGAAAGCGTTTGCAAACCCTTGATGAAAGCACTGACAGAGGGTATTACTGAGCCTGATAGTATCCAGTGGACAAGTTTCCTTCCCCCAACGACAGTGACAGCCACGAAATGTTTAAGGAAAGCTAAGAACCAAGTTCATGGTTCAACTATTCCCATCTCTTCCTATTCCTAGCAGTGACACTTATCTTCCCTGACAGCCACTCCCATTGTGCTCTTCCCTCGACCTAACACAATGGACATATGCAGACACTGGCAGACAGGGAGAATGTCTTCCATCCCATTGCTCCCCTATGCAGAGGGACCAGGCTAAGGTTACATAAGCCCCTCCTGAGCTGTTGGGCCCCTGCGCTAGGGGGAAGAAAATCGGGGGACTGTGACGAAGTCACAGTCTGCAGGCCCTGACTAACCCTGTACTCAACATCCTGTCCTGTCAAGGCGGGGCAGCTGGAAACCTAGGGTTGCCCCCCGCGACCACCCAGCTCACGCCAATCTAGCAGGCCGACCCGAACTGGCTGTCCACTAGATCGTGGGATTCCAGGCCCCGGCCCCAGACTCGGACCACAGTTCCCTGCCCCCCAGTTACCCAGACCCTCTCTCTTACCTGCCCGGGCCAGGGCCGGGGCCGGGGCCAGGGACCGGACCGAGACCAGGGGTCAGGGGTCCAGCCGCTCGCGCGACTCCAGCTGCGGGGAGCTGTCCGCCGCCTGCTAGTGCTGAAGGCGGCTGCCCTGCTCCGGGGCCCGGACCCAGACCAGAGCCTCCGGGCGGCAGCGGCCCTTCACCCGCGCCGCCCTCCAGGCTGGCCTCATTGCCCATGGTGGGCAAGCAGGCGGGCGGGGTCGGGGTCGCACTGCGCCCGGGCCAGAGGCTCCCGGGCGGCGCTCACACTCTCCGCTCCACCGCTGCTGCCGCCATCTCCCAGCTCGGCTCGCACCGCCGCCTGATGCTGCGCATGCGCGTGGAGCGCGCGCGCCCCTGCCCTGCACACGCCTCCCCCCCCCCTTGGGCGCGCTCACGCCAGCCCGCGAAGACTCGTGTCCACGCACCAGCCGCGGGGTCGCCGGGAAAACGGCCTCGAACCCGCGCATGCGCCCTTCGCGGCCAACGCGGCCGGCGTGTACTGAATGAAACCGGGCTAGAGTAGGCGGTCGGATTCTACTGGACCTCTTTGGAGGTTCACCAGACTTTAGAACCTACCTAAGAGCCAGGAGTGATGGCTGCTCATGTAATGCCAATCCTTGGAAGGTAGAGGCAGGAAAATCAAGGTCATCCTCAGCGACGTAGTGTGCATTTGAGGCCAGCCTACACCAAACCATTTTAAAAGCCGGCCAGAGGGTTCAAGTGGGTAAAGATGCTTTCCGCAAGTCTCATGTTGTGAGTTAGGGACCCACGCGTTGAAAGGAGAGAACCAACTTCCAAACGCTGTCCTCCGATCTCCACACCCACCCGTACCCCCACCCATACACAGATACAAATAAAAATGTCTTTTTTAAAAAGAGGGTCTAGAGAGATGACTCAGCAGGTAAGAGCGTATACAGCCCCTGCAGAGGACATACAGAGTTCCCAGCACCCATATTAGTGGGCTTACAACTGTGAGTAATTTTATTTCCAGAGAGATCCTATGCCTCTAGCCTTAACAAACAAGCACTTATATGCACAGACCCACACACATATACATAATTAAAAATAATAGCCATGCATAGTGGCACACCTTTAATCAGTTCCCAGGAAGCAGAGGCAGGCAGATCTCTGTGAGTTCAGAGCCAGCCTGGTCTACTTAGAATGTTCCAAGACAGCCAAGGCCACATACATAAAGAAATCCTGTCTCAAAATAATAATGTTTTTAGCCGGGCAGTGGTGGTGCATCCCTTTAATCCCAGCACTCGGGAGGCAGAGGCAGGTGGATGTTTGTGAGTTCAAGGCCAGCCTGGTCTGCAAAGAGAGTTCCAGGACAGCCAGGACTGATACAGAGAGAAACCCTATCTCAAAAACAAACAAAAAAAGTTGTAACCTGACGTGGAATAATCCAGGTGAACATCAGTGGACAGACAAGTGCTGTCTGTTCAGGAGAGGAGGTATGGCCGTCAAGAATCCCAGCTGTTTTTTCCCCAGCTCTGTGATAGAACAGGGAAGAAGGGCCCTTCCACTTCCTGGTGTTCTCTACTATTCTTCTGGCCAAACTCCCAAGCCTATCTGGAGCTGAGGGAGGAGAGCTCTCACTGTGGAGGGCCTTGCTGTGCTTCCTCCCGTACTCAAGAGTATTTGATATTGTTTCATGTCTGGTGACTACATGTGAACAATTAGGTACCATATGGGTCAGCATCTTAGACTGGCCACACCCCAGGTAGGACCTGGGACTCATTCAGCCTCCATTTCCTAGTGTGCAAAGTTAGGATATTAACAGGCCCTCTAATAAAGAAGGTTGTGAGCTGGGTATTGGTGGCGCATGTCTTTAATTCCAGCACTTGGGAGGCAGAGGCTGGTGGATTTCTGTGAGTTCAAGGCCAGCCTGGTCCACAAGAGGACAGCTAGGACTGTTACACAGAGAAACCCTGTCTCAAAAAAAAAAAAAAAAAAAAAAAAAAAAAAAAAAAAAAAAAAAAAAAAAAAAAAAAAAAAAAAAAAAAAAAAAAAAAAAAAAAAAAAAAAAAGAGAGAGAGAGAGCCCAGCACATAAAAGATAACGCTGGATGTTGCACGAATTCTAATTGGTTTTAATAATAAAAACCCAGAGCCAGTTATCAGGAGTGAAAACTGAAAGACCAGAGAAACAGGGCAGCAGCCACTAGAGTTCTTACCTCTCCAAATGCTCAGACCGAATAGGCAAGATCCTGCCTCTACGAAACCTCAGACTGAATTCTCTGAGCTCCTGTTTCCTCCCACCTTACAACCCGCTCTCTGCCCAGCCATAACCCTCCTATCTCCACCTGCCTCGTGTTGGGATCCGAGGTGTGAGCTCTGTTTTCTTTTAGATTGATTCAATCTTTTGTAGCCCAGAGTGGCCTTGAACTCACAGAAATCTGTCTGCCTCTGTCTCCCGAGTGCTGGGATTAAAGGTGTGGGCCACCATTGCCTGGCCTCTATGGCTAACTAGTGTGGCTAGCTCTGCACTCTGATCTTCAGGCAGGTTTTATTTGTTAGATCATAAACAAAATATCACCACAGCTGCCACTTGCTGTCTCTCCTGTGGTGTCTTGGATTTGGGGGATTGGTGACACACGAGCTCTATGAGCAGGTCTGCGGCCTGACTTTGTCCCTTACCACATTAGTTTAGCTTTACAAACACCAGCTAGTGAGATGCTGCAAGAACTTTTATACAGGGAGACATAAACATCTACTCTCCCCAGATAGCACACCAAAAACAGACAAAAGTAATGATTCCACCAAGGTCCAACTTGGCACGCCAATGAATTCATTGGACTCATCTACAGAGCAATCTGACCCCAAAGAAGCCAAATCCTGAAAAGTTTCACATCCAACACAGATGACAGATTCTCCAAAGATAGGCAGTTGGAGGCCCCTGCCCTCACCTCCAGATAACCTTCCACCTTTATACACTCCTGCATCTCCCAAGACCACAAGCCACAGGCAATAGAGCAAAGTTAGGGTGGGCAGGGAGGTGCCAAAGGTATGGGATCTGAGGAAAGGGCCCCAAGCCTTCCTATTGTGGAGGAATGCCTACAGGCTCAGTCCGGAGGGTCTCTGTGGCCGGAAACACCTGCTCCTGGTGACAACACTAAGTTAAGTCTATGGTGCTCAGCACTCTGGAACACATGGCCTGGGCCAGGTGGGAGGGGAAAGCATGTTTGTTTTCTTGTTTCTGTAGAAATTACAGAAGTATGACTTTCCACAGATTCAAGTCAACACACCCCTAGCTCCTGCGGGAGTAATCAGCCCTACCCAGCCAGTAGGTCTGGGGAGTTAGTCTCCTCGGGGGCATTCCTGCCTCTAAGTAGACCTCCAGGGTCTTTGCTACCTTGGTGACAAGGCATGCTCAGTGGACCCAGGAGGACTTGATATGTTCGTGGTGCCCTTCCTCTCCCAAACAGTTCCACTTCCTATGAGAAGCATTCCTTGGCACACACTTTCCTGCCCACTTCCTCCTGTCATTCATCCAAGGACACCGACTGACCTAGTCCCTGGTGGTCTAGGACTCTTACCCAGTCTCTCCTTTTTCTTCCCTGCCACACGAGTTATCTCCTTCTACTTCGTCTAATTTTGACTGTTGCCTGAGCCGCCCTTCAGCAGGTCCTTAGGGACTGGTCCCTGGGCTTGGTTCTCCATGCTGTTCTGAGCATCTCTCTCCTCTGCCCTTTCTAACCTGGGTTTAGAAGCTGCTCAGGAAGATCTCTGACCTCCACTCCCAAATGACTGTGCAGAGGCTGCGGACCCGATAAGACCCAGGAAGAATACAGAGACTGCACTCAGTGTCTCCCCACAGAGGACTATTGGTAAGCTGTCTTCTTCACGCAGGAGAATTCACGAAATTTGACTAGAGAACAACTGTATCTGGTATCATGTCCCTGTAGGTCCGGCTGCTGCCCCTCCAGGGACAGCGAGGACTTGAAGACTCTATGGTTTCCCAGGCTCCAAGCCCCACTAGGGAATGTACCCTCTTCCTACTCTGGTGTGCTTACAACACACGATGGACATTTTGGAGGAAATGCAGATGGCAGGAGAATCTACCTACAAAAGAGAATGGATGTGTTTGCTTCTTCAGCCTGAGACACTTGCAACAGCAAGAGTGGTGGTGAACGCCTGTAATCCTGAATCTTCCAAGGTGGAGGTGGAGCAGTGGGAAGGAAAAATTAAAACCTGCCTTGTCTCAAAGGAGTGGGGGCTGAAGAGATGGTTCAGCAGTCAAGAGCACTGACTGTTCTTCCAGGGCAGTGTTTCTCAACCCATGGGCTGCGATACCCCCTCCCCACACACACACTTTGGCAAACTTCTATCTCTAAAAATATTTACATTAAAATTCATAACAACAGCAAAATTACAGTTACAAAGTGGCAACAAAATAATTTTATGTTCGGGGGTCACCACAACATGAGGTACTGTGTTAAAGAGTTGCAGCATTAGAAAGGTTGAGAACCACTGCTCCAGAGTGACCCAAGTTCGATTCCCAGCACCCACATGATACTTCAGAATTACCTGTACTTTCTTTCCAGGGGATCTGACACCATCTTCTGGCCTCCACAGGCATCCGGCACACACGGTCAGGAGCAGAGACTGGAGGTGCAACCAGCAAACACCCGGACACATTTTTTTTATTTTATTTTAAAATATTTATTTATTTATTATGTATACAATAGTCTGTCTGTATGCCTGAAGGCCAGAAGAGGGCGCCAAACCTCTTTACAGATGGTTGTGAGCCACCATGTGGTTGCTGGGAATTGAACTCAGGACCTTTGGAAGAGCAGGCAATGCTCTTAACCACTGAGCCATCTCTCCAGCCCCACCCGGACACATTTTTAAAAAAAGTCGCACACCTTTAATCCCAGCACTTGGGAGGCAGAGGCAGGCAGATCTCTGTGAGTTTGAAGTCAGCCTGGTCTACAGAGCTAGTTCTAGAACAGCCAGTGTTACACAGAGAAATCCTGTCTTAAAAAACAAACAAACAAGTCTATAGGGTAAAAAAGAAACTTTTCAGGCAAGACAAGGAGACAGGATTGAGGGGGAGGCTCAGTTAGTAAAATGCATGCCATACCAGCATAAGAACCTATTTGGATCCCCAGTATGTAAAAACCTGGACATGTGGCGCACCTGTTCTCCCATGAGTAAGGATTCATGGAACCCTATGGCCGACCAGCTAAGCTATTCCAGGTCCATGAGAGATCGTGTCTCAAATAAACAAGGCAGAGAACAACCTGCTGTCAACCTGCACAGGCA